GGTGATTTCTCTGAATCTTGAAGGATCAGTAGGAATTTGCCCAAAGAAAGAAGCAGTAGAGGTAGAAAGGTGATGGTTTGGGTAGCAGGAATGGGGGTTTAGAACATGGGCATGAGAAGTCAAGGTGGAAATGCCTAGGGGTCTGGAGCACGGGTGAGCAAAACAGAGCTGAGTCTCAGGTGAGTCTAAGTGCTCAGGTTGTGAGAGAATGAAGAAAGGAATGTCCCGAGCTAGAGAGTGTCCCTAAGAATTCATGCTATTTCCAGATCTTAGAATGTGACTTTATGAAGAAAGGAAAGGAAATAGGAGGCAAAGGACAGTTATAGAGGTCTAAATATAGGCATGTACATATGTAAATATATTTATATATAACAATAGGGAAATAGATCTATGTACTTATATTTATATGTTAATATTAAGGTAGCAGATGACATTAGGCCTTGACTCAAGACTCCCTCAATGCAAGAACACTTTGTTCTATTAAACTGGCATTCCATGATGTTCACCTTCCCAACACAATCACTGAAGACAAAGAGGATGTATAAGCAAATGTGGTGAAGAAAGCTGATGGTGCCCGGCTAGCAAAAGATATAGCATTTAGGGTCGTAAGGTTTGAAGATAAACAAGTGGCCATCTAGCTGAGAAGCAACAAAGCCCACATGGAAGAAGCACACCAGCCTGTGTGATCACAAGGTATCCATGGGATCAGGTATCAGGCATCTAAGACCCAGAACAAAATCATACCAATATGAAGGGGGCAGGGGGAGGGTGGGAGTGTGGAGTGGAGACCCAAAGCCCATCTGTAGACAATTGGACATCCCTTTACAGAAGGGTTGCGGGGAGGAGACGAGCCAGTCAGGGGACAGTATAGCAATGATGAAACATACAACTTTCCTCTAGTTCTTTAATGTTTCTTCCCCACCCACTATCATGATCCCAATTCTACCTTACAAATCCAGCTAGACCAGAGGATGTACCCTGGTACAGATAGGAACTGGAAACACAGGGAATCCAGGACAGATGAACTCCTCAGGACCAATATTGAGAGAGTGATACTGGGAGGGTGGAGGGAAGGTGGGGTAGAAAGTGAGAACCAATCACAAGAATCGACATATAGCCCCCTCCCTGGGGGACAGACAACAGAGAAGTGGGTGAAGGGAGACATCCAACAGTGTAAGACATGACAAAATAATAATAATTTATAAATTATCAAGGGTTCGTGAGGGAGGGGGGAGGGAAGCGAGAGGGAAAATGTGGAGCTGATACCACGGGCTCAAGTGAAAAAAAGATGTTTTGAGAATGATGGTGGCAACAGATGTACAAGTGTGCTTGACACAATGGATGTATGGATGGATTGTGATAAGTTGTATGAGCCCCCAGTAAAATGATTTTTAAAAGGAGAAAAAAAAAGAATGTGACTTTCTTTGGTAACAGGGTCATTGTGGGTGTAAGACCATACTGGTGTATAGTGATTCCCATCATGTGGCGGGTGTCCTCCCAAGAAGAAAAGAATAGAGGGAAGACAATCATGAGAGAGGAAGAGATGGAAGTTAAGCTCTCAGAAATCTAGGGACTCCTGGAACTACCAGGGGCCGCAAGACTCCAAGAAAATTTTCCTCTAGAATCTTCAGGGGAGCCTGGCCCTACCAAATCTTCTATCCCAATTTCTAGCCTGCAGAGCTTTGAGGGAGTAAATTCCTGTTGTCTTCAGATGCTCCGTTTGTCGTAATTTATTATGACTTCCCTAGGAAACTAACACAAGGAGGTTACCCTAAAAGGGGAGCTTGGTTGGTAATGTACTTTGTAGAGTGTGGTTGACATCAAAGGACCACATTAGCAACATGGAAGAGGCTGATGGAAAGTGGGAGACACTTGTCCTCTGTCACCGGAGGGCCCTGAGAGCCTGCGGTTGCTGTGGTTGCTTTTCTTGGTCTGATCCCACTATGAATCGTCTCTATTTCCTGGACACTTGATACCCTTGGCTGTAAACGAGCCGTCAGGAACAGTGTTGCCCTTCTCAAACGATTGCTGCAATTACTGCAGGGACCGATCAGATAACTGCTTTGGAAAGTGGAGAGTACTACTTACAAATTCAAAGATAGTTGTATGTGTGATAGAATGGGCTTTCTTCAGTCCCTCCTGTCCTCCAGCCCCCTCTCCTCCTCCACCTTTGTGGAAAGAGGATCTTTGGTCAGTCTGAGGACAGAAAGACCGCGTGAGCATGATAATAACTCATCCCAATTAGGAAGCTTAGCAGAAATAGCCAATGAGAAATGGATTTGTAGATGCTTCCTCACAATCTCTGGCTCTAAAAGGCTTGAGTGCTCCCTTAGAGCTGAGATGGACGCAGAAACAAGTATCACCATGGAGTTGGCCTTTGGAGAGCTTCTCTAGGATTAAGCCAGCCCCTTGGGAAGCACACAGGAGCATACAATATTAAGTGGTATATGGAAGGGAAACAAGATGAAGGGTATCCTGGACTTCCATCCAAAACCAGGTCCACATTGCATGGAAAGTCTGGATAAACAAGTCAATGCCTCTTTACAGCATCGTCTGAACTTGTGAGGTGTCCATCCACTCATAAAATGGGTTTCTTTTGGTTATTAGTCATACCAAACATTCTTCCAGGTATTGCTGATGGAACTGAGAAGTTAATAATTTTTTCCAAGTTGTTATTCCTGTTATAATCGCATTTCTCAACTTAAAAAAAATTCACATGGAACGTGGGAAACAGACCAGAATTTGCTGTTCAGTCTCCCCCGCTTCTTCCAGGGAGTTCTCTTCTGCCCTTAGGGTCACCGTGAATCAGAATCAGTTTGATTGGCAGTGGACTGACTTGAGGATTTTTGGTAACCACCACCACTATCCATTTCCATCTTTCTTTTTTTTTTCCAATCACCCTAGACAGAAATTTGGAGACCCTGGGTGTTATATTCTCAGCTGATAACCGAAAATTGGAGTTTGGAGTCCACTCAGGCACTTACAAAGAAAGGCCTGGCAACCTGCTTCTGCAAAACCCACCATGGAAACCCCAGCGTTCTATCTTCATGCCCTTGCGATTGCCAGGGGCTGAGTCAACTTGATGGCACATATATGTACATACGTGTATGAAGGAAACTTAACTTGGTACTCATTAAGCTGTAACTCCTCATTCACCATTTCCTCCATCCTTAAATAGAAATTTTGATTTAATTGTTTCCATCGATTTAATAGATTTCTAACTTTTAACTTCACTGCATTTCCCAGCTACCTTTTTCCCTAGGGAAGAACACGTCTAGGTGCCTATCTCGGGGAGAAAATGTTCCCATTTCTCAAGTGGCTGGTTGAGAATAGGTGCCCCTGGGCACTAACGACTGTATCCTACTCTTCACTGGTCTTGACTTGTGGAACCTGTTAACTTCCCTCACAAGCCCTCACGATCAGGAGTTTTGTCTGAGTCCTAGGTGGCCATTGCAACAAATGAGCGAACCCAGCAGAGAAGTAGTGTTGTGGGAGGACTGATTGGTGTTAGAAGAGATAAAGAAAGATGGAGGCTGGAGGCCTCTTTGACCTCTGCCTTGGGGCAACAGGGAAGCCCGAGAAGGTCAGATAAAACTTCCGTGTTGTGTAAGTAAGGTCCAACAGTAGAACCACCGTCCTTCCCCCTCAGTTCCTGGGGGCCACCTGCTCTTGGGTCTCTCCCCTTGTCATGGGACTGCCTCACCAGATTCGGGTTTCCAACAATGGGAGCGTATTGAGTGAGTGACAGGCAGGGAAGAGCTTGACCGGGCAGGCTGCCGGGGTGGATCCTGGGCCCAGCTCCTCCATGTACCATGCACTAGGGTGGGTGCCAGGATGAAGCCCCTTCCCGTCAGAATGAGAGAGGTGCTTGTATCTTCTAAGTGCCAAGAATTCATCCTAACAAAGAGTCTGCTTCTTCCCCTGTAAGTGAGGTGGAGACCTGGCTGTGCCTCAGGTGTGGAACGGGATCATAACATAACATGTCTCAGACATGAAGTGTAGGATGCCCTGCCTGGATATGGTTTCTGATCCCTCCTCATCACAATTGAGGGCTTCTCTTCCTCATGGGATTTCTTGAGCTCTCTAGCTGCCTCCTGGGTCAGTAGGTCCCATCTAGCCCACCTGGGGTTAAGCCCTCACTTGCTTGCTGAAGAGCTGAGGCCAAATTCCCAGTGGAGGGTGACTGACACCTAGTAGTTTGGGGAGGTGAAGAGTGTCTCTTCTGGAGTCTGGCCTGGAATGTGTGTCCGTATCCCACTGTCTACGAATAGTCATTACTTTTCAGGGCTGGACCTACAGGGTTACAGCTCTGGGACCCTTCTTTCATGTGGATTCTGACCCATTCCCCAATTCAACTGCTTGTCTCTCAAGATGTCAATGTCTTGTGTTGAACAAGAAGGTGAGAGGAAGGGTGGGAGGGGATGAGGAAGATGAAAGAGAATAATTGGTTGGAGGTGTCAGGCTGTCAGGTTGGGCCAGAGACAGTGGGTGCTGCAGGTTTTTCAAGAACACATTGGCAGTTACATAACCTGTTGTCAATTTGAGTGAAGGGGTGGAGTTTAGCCTGTCAATCAGGTCACAGCTTGATGACCTCATTTGGAGGTGCTAAGGAGATAAATAGCTCACTGGAGGTGGGACACACACACTCACTCCTTGGGAGACATTCCTGTGGACAAGACATAAAGAGCTACACTGGAGCCACGTGGAGACCCCCTGTCAGCACTGAGATGCTTCCACTGCCACTGGAGCCATAAGGCTTTCCACCCACTGGCCTTTGATCTTCCTGCATTCGGCATCATTGCATGTGTTGTGTGATTCTCAAGAGGACTTTATAGATTGGTATGAGACATATGGGCTAATATCGGACTTATGGACTTGATCTGGACTGGGATATTTTCTCAATATTCAATTGCTCTTGTATATAAAGCTCTTTCTTATACACATATGAGTGTTTATGAATTTGTTTCTCTAGTCCACCCAGACTCACACACCCACCTTACCTGTGCCTGGAGAGCCGCTCCTGGCCCGTCCTCTGGCTCCACCCTGTGCTGTAAGAGAGGGGAGCAGGGATAAGTGCTGACCCCTGGATGCCCCTGCAATACCCCTATTTCCTTGTAGGACCTTCTCAGTGGCCTCAGACTGCAATCTGGCCCAAATGATTGGACTCAACCAGGTCTCGAGCCTCTATTCTATGACAGGTCTCTGACATCTTGAGGAACTCATTAAGTTAGAACATCCCCACAGCCCCCTGCCCCAGGTAGAAAAACCAAACCAAACATGCAATCCGACTAGCTGCCCTGGAGTTGGTTCAGACTCCTGGTGGCCCCAGGTGTACGGAGTCGAAGCGTGCTCTGCAGGGTCTCCAATGGCTGTGACCTTTCCGAAGCCGGTCTCCAAGACCCTCCAATGTGCTTCAGGGTGGCATCCAACCGCCAGCCTTTCAGTCAGCAGCCAATCACTCAACTATTTTTACCATCCAGGGCCACAGACATACACTCAGATATGAGTTGCTAGGACAAGGAACTCAAAACATCCAAACCTGAAAGAGTCAGGGGATCTGTCCGCTGCTCTCCCTACAAGGACTTCGCAACTGTTTAAATCCCTACAACAGCCCTGCCAGGATAGCTGACTTCAGCTCCCAGATGAGACAGGGAGAGTTCAGATCACCAGACTGAGGTCACTCAGAGAGCAGCTGTCAGACGTTGCATCTCAACCCAGTCCCTGGGACTGGAAGGATCCCATCTGCTTTCCCATCACCCTACAGCTGCCAAGGGCCCCTCAGGTGGGTCCAAAGGGGAGGAGGATATATGCTCACCTTCCCCCTCCAGGACCTTCAGCTGGCTGCTCATGGTGAGCCGGGCTTGCTCACACCTGTAGTCTAAGGTGCTCTCCTGGCCCCATGGTGGCAGGCCTCCCTTCCTGGGTCTGACGGCAGGCAGCCTGACTCGGGTGTGACTGAATGTGGCTGACGGTGAAGTTTAGGAGAGGGTCAGGGAAAGGAAGAGGCACGTTCCTGGCCCATCAATCCGGCTGCACACTCCTCTGCTTGGGTTTCCTGCATAGACACTGAGTAGCCTCATGTTTCAGGCATCATTTAAACATGAAGGAGCCCTGGAGAGGCCTGGTGCGCCAGCTCTTCCCTGGGCAACGGCACCACTTGCATTTGGCCCAGGAAGGTGTGAGGAGCAGGCCAGGGGCACTGCCCAGGGCTCTTCCCTACTACTGCCTTGACTTCCTGCTTAGGACAAGGCACTGGGATAAGTCAGAGAAACAATACCTGTAGGACACACACACACATACACACACACACACACACACACACACACACACACACACACACAGAGCTCCGATCTCCAGTATGAGTCAGAATTGGCTTGATGGCAGTGGATTTGGGTTTTATAGGTATATATTCCTTACTATTGATTCTATTTCTGTGGTGAACCCTGCTTGGTACAATCCTCTATTGTGAGGGTTAAGTAAATTAGAGCAGGTCAGAGACCTTCTCAGGCCAGATAAACCCTAACAAACTGAGGGCGTCCCCTGCTGAGCACCTGCAGGAGGTACCAGCTGCATGCCCTGGACCCTTTTAGACCCCATCTCTCTCCCCTCAGCCCAGGCTCTCTTTCCTTGCTTTTGTAGGTAGGGTGTGGTGGGTGTGCAAAAATGTCTTCTCTTACTCTCGCTCCCTGTCACAGAGAAGATGTCAAGGTACAGAGAGAGCTGTATTAGCACTCTCAAGAAGCACCTAGAGTCACACCAACTTCAACTTCTCCAGAAAGCTGCAAGTGAGCAACTGAGGACCTTTAGACTGATTTGTCCATCGGCAATGAAATTTGTTAAGCTTTTCTTAACATCCTCCTTAAAGAAGCAAAAGTTGTAGTAGGGCAGATATGTCCACACAAGGGTGTCCTGTGGGTCCATATGGGGTCATCTCAAGACGCTATTTCTGTGTTTGGTTCACATCACTCCACACCATACCGATTTCTCAATGTCCACTTGCTAAAGTAAAGGGTCAATAGAAATGAGCGAAACCCGAATTAGATGGATTGACACAACAGCTGGAAAAAATGGATTCAAACATACTAATGATCCTGGGATGGCACAGGACAGGACATTCATTTGTTCTGTTATACATTGCTTTTGAGCCAGAACTGACTGATGGCACCTAGTACCAACAGCAACCTCTCTACTAGAGGAGTGTGGGGCTCTCGCAGGTGTGAAGCAATGCTGTGTGAGTCTGGTTAGATGTGAGTATCTCCAGGAATGGAAGCTGATTCTCTCTGGAAGACTGCTCTTTCCACTGTGGCACAACATTAGCTGCTGAGATCATTCATTCTCGTGGCTTATTTATAAAAGATTCACAGACAGAACTTACATCAAGATGGCAGATTAGGCAGACATGCTACACACTAGAGAGAAGTTTAACAAAGACATAAAATAAGGAAACAACACAATCAATGAACTTGACCTTATAGACATATACAGAATATGCCAACCAACACCAGCTTGTGCAATCATGAGGTGTTGAAGGGATCAGGTATCAGGCATCATCAAAACAAAAAATCACATCATTGTGAATAAGGGGGAGTGTGGAGTGGAGACCCAAAACCCATCTGTAGGCAATTGGACATCCCCTTACTGAAGGGTCGCAGGGAGGAGACGAGCCAGTCAGGGTGCAGGGTAGCAGTGGTGAAACATATAACTTTCCTCTAGTTCCTAAATGCTTACCCCCCACCCCATCCCACTATCATGATCCCAATTCTACCTTACAAATCTGGCTAGACCAGAGGATGTACACTGGTACAGATAGGAACTGGAAACACAGGGAATCCAGGACAGATGATCCCTTCAGGATCAGTGGTGAGAGTGGCGATACCGGGAGGGTGGAAGGAGGGTGGGGTGGAAAGGGGGAACCAATTACAAGGATCTACATATAACCTCCTCCCTGGGGGACGGACAACAGAAAAGTGGGTGAAGGGAGACGTTGGGCAGTGTAAGATATGACAAAATAATAATAATTTATAAAGTATCAAGTGTTCATGAGGGAGGGGGGAGCGAGGAGGGAGGGGGGAAAATGAGGAGCTGATGCCAGAGGCTTAAATGGAGAGCAAATGTTTTGAGAATGATGAGGGCAATGAATGTACAAATGTGCTTTACACAATTGATGTATGTATGGATTGTGATGAGTTGTATGAGCCCCTAATCAAATGATTTTTAAAACAAAGTAATTTATGGAGTGGTATTGTCATATAGGCTAATATCGGACTTATGGACTTGATCCATACTGGGCTGGGATGTTTTAATATACAATTACTCTTTGATATAAAGCTCTTTCCTATACATATATGTGTTTCTGAATTTGTTTCTCTAGTCAACTGGAACTAACAGAGATGGAGTCTGAAAAGGTGGGAGGAGAATGGGAGTATAACCATGAATATATATTTTAAGAAGATATTTATATATATTTATTTTGTTTTTAATATATCCATGAAAGTGGTGAAGCATACGGGGAAAATTTATGAAAACTTGGACATAACCAAACACCTTGAAGGAATGAATCTCTGTGCCTGCAGGATCAAAAACCCGTTTCAGGGGACACAAAGGTCCCTTGGCACAATATAGTTCACAAAAACATCCAAATTTGGAGAGTAGCAACGAGGGCCTTAAAAACATGTGAGCTGCCATACTAGGTACAACTGTTTGTCTCTCCCTATCCAGAGGAAAGAACATGGTGAAAATCAAAATACACATGGAAACCATTAGTCCAATGGACTAACAAATCATTAAAATACCAGTCTCTACAACCCTGACTAGAAGAATCAAATGGTGCCCAGCTCTTTGAAAAGGAACATATTAGAAGATTCTGAATCTAAAAGCCACTGCTACTGCGTCAACTCCAACTCATAGCCACCCTGTAGGACAGGGTAGAACTGTCCCTTTGGGTTTCCAAGAATTTGAATCTTTATTGGAATAAACAGCCTATCTTTTGCCCAAGGAGTGGTTGTTGGGTTCCAACCACTGACCTTTTCGTTACCTACCAGCTCAGTGCACAGCCCACTACTCTTTGATATTGAATATCATAGAAAACAATGTGGAACAAAACTCAAATCATATGAGACCAGGTTTACTTGTTGGATTAAAGATTGGTGGTGAAAGGTTGGAGACGGAGGCACAGAAGGAGACAAGGCTCAGTCAGGAATGAGAAGTGTAGAGAGGCTTTATTAAGGTGAGGGAAAACTCACGGATGAGTTCCGCGACCCAAGGAGTTAGGTCAGGGAAGTCATGCCTGGTAGTGAGGCGGTGGCACATATACGGGCTTGAGTCAAGGACGTACGTATGTGCTGATAAGAGGGAGGAAGGCCTTCTGGTGCCACAGTTGCAGAGTCTGAGTCAGGATGTGGTCTGTGAGTAAATCACCCTGGAACACTGAGGGCAGGGGCTGTACAGACCTGGCCCGGAGAGATAAGCTCCTTGGAACACTGGAGGCAGGGACTGCACAGTCCAGCTTTGGCCTTGAGAGGTGGGAGTGGGGGGCAGAAGGGGCTGCACAGTCCAGCAGGTATCTTTTGGGAGAGCTGGGGGAAGCGGCTGCATGGTCCGGCCCCGGCCCAAACAGGTGGTACCCCTGAGGTGATGCCCTTAGTCACCCTTCAGGTCTGGAAATGAACTCATCCTTCTGTCAGAACAATCAACCATTTACTCAGAAAGGAAGAATTTACCCAAAGAAAAACTCAGTGTTGGGGAAAGCAGAAAGACACGGGAAACACAAGAAGAAAGTGGGAAAAGTGATGGTACATTGAGAGGTCGTCAATGGGTTAGTTGAAATAAAATGTGTAGGCATTGTGGAATGTGAAATTGATTATTAGCTCTGTAAACATTCAATTCCACTAACTGTTCACCGTACTGTGGTGGCTTGTGTGTTGCTGTGATCTTGGAAGCTATGTCACTGGCATTTCAAATAGCAGTGTTGTTGTTCTTAGGCGCTCTGTCTCTCTCAAGTCAGTTCTGATGCATAACAACTGAGATAGTTTATTGTGCCAGTCTGGCTGATAAACACAAGTGGGATTAACTGAAGGGCAGAGAAATAAATGCCTTGGTGAGTCTCGCCTTTCTTGTCTCAATTTAAAGGCTACACTACCTGTGGGACGCCTAGCCTGTGGACTGTGTCGCTGTAAGTTGAGGTCCCTTTAAGACATCTCTGGAGCTGGGGACTGGCGGTTGGTGACCTGGCTGGCAGTTGGTGACCTACCTTCTGATTGGCTGCTGTGCTGACATAGCCTAGCTCTCTATAAGATCTGGCA